CGTCTCATTGAGAATCACTTGACTTTTGTTTTTGAATCATTTGATTTCGTTGAGTATTGAAGAAGTTATGAACGTTTAAAGTTTACCCAGTTTCCGACGAGTTTTTCAGTTTTCCCTTGGACCAGTCAACTTTGAGGCTATTTTCCAGCCATCTCTAGCATCCATTGGGCTTCCAAATAGGAATAATCTTATTCTACACTTTCCTATCTTTATTTTGATATATTATGGGTTGAATTTGGTTAAGAAACGATTGAGTTACGAAGCTTTGAAAATTACCCAAACTTCCGGCCAAGAGCTCCGGGACACTTAACGGAGTTTTTAACGGAAGGACCAAAATGATGGATGGTGGACAATCTCAGGGACCACTTTTATCGATTTGAAATGTTAGGGACCAAAGTGATGAGTTATACAAATCTCAGGGACCATTTTGGTTATTTAGCCTTAATTTTATTAAATACGTTCTATAATTCTACAATGATGGAGCCACACTACTGAAGGATAACGAGGGTGTAGAAAACGCTTATCATCTTACAGTTCCCCCCTATTTTTTTTTTCTTTTGAAACATTACTTAGGTGCACTTCTGAGGTGTATCTCTTCGTGTACCATGTCATAATTAACGAATTTTTACCGTACACATGCCACAATCAAAATTATTCCTTCTTTGCTAGGTATCAATGCAGATCATATGTGGAAAAAAAAAAACAATAAATCAAATCGAAAATTGTTTGGTATTCAATGTACGGTCTATCATGCTAATCTTAATTATTATCAAATTTGTTGTTTTTTCAACACATATGAATTACTAACGATCGTCAATTTGATTTTATTTTTTAGAGAATGCCCTTTAATTAATAACTAAGCAAATAAAGGGTTTCGTTTAAAACATTTATATAAATGAAAACCATAGGTTAATATTCCAATTCAATGTACAAGGAGGTGCATACATGGTTTTGGTTGGACACTTTTGAGAAATTTTACACATAGGCATATACATCATTAAGCGAAAAGGACAATGTTATTGACTCATGCATGTTTATCTTTCCCCTTAAGGAAAACTAATGAAAATGGCTTGAAAATTTTGAGTTTTAACGATAAGGACAAAATAAAGGGTGAAGTGAATGGTACCATATTTGACTTTTTAGTGTAAAACGTGGTTTTTCGTTAAAGTGAATAGTACCGCGGTCTTTTCGTTAAAACTCCCTTCCCCTTAAGGTATCTCCCAAAAATTGAAGTTCATCTACTTACCTTTACGTTCTTACCCAATCTTTTGGTGTTTGCCTTGCCTTTTAAAGCGTTATAGGCAATTCAGTAGGCAAATCTATTTTGCAGACAAAAATTAACTCTAGTTGTATAGCCAATTGAGTTTGCAAATTTTGTCTACTCTCTCAAAATTGACAAATGTTATCTATAGTTCCATGAATAGTCAGATTGGGCTTCACGTCTTTTTATTAGAGAATGCCCTTTAATTAATAACTAAGCAAATAAAGGGTTTCGTTTAAAACATTTATATAAATGAAAACCATAGGTTAATATTCCAATTCAATGTACAAGGAGGTGCATACATGGTTTTGGTTGGACACTTTTGAGAAATTTTACACATAGGCATATACATCATTAAGCGAAAAGGACAATGTTATTGGCTCATGCATGTTTATCTTTCCCCTTAAGGTATCTCCCAAAAATTGAAGTTTATCTACTTACCTTTACATTCTTACCCTCTCTTTTAGTTTTTGTCTTTGCCTTTTTACAGCATCTGTAGTGGTATAGGCAACTCTAGTGGTATAACTAATTGAGTTTGTAAATTTTGTTTACTCTCTTAAAGTAGACAAATGTTATCTACAATTCCATGAATAATCAGATTGGGCTTCACATCTTTTTATTAGTACAATATTCCATGTGGAATGATAAAATTCTAAGAAGACAAAATCTTTAGATAATCTTTTGTAAATCACATGAAATGACGGTTGATGTTTTGGCTCCTTTTTTAATCATCTATAGAAGAAATCTAACTATCAACCGCTACATCATGTAGTCTATAAAAATGATTTAGAATTTTAATCTCTCTAGTATCACGTCAAAACTAAATGATAAAACCTTGAAAGTAGATGTTACAAATGAAAATTAACAATTTAATTTTACCTACTTAGTTTGCTAATCCAGATGACAAACTGTTTTTATGTGACAATTAAGTAGATACCATGCACATTAGCCCTTTTAATCCAATTTTGCCCACTTTTAATTGTCCGTACAATTAGGGACACCTCCTTCTGCTTTGCTTAAAAGCTTGTACCAACTTTTACATTGAACCAAACTTTGGTCTTGAACACGTGGCCGAGAACCCATCAACCTAAATGTAAGAGGAGATTAACTTAGACGCAGATTCTCTGTCCTCTTACTTCTCCCATGCTCTTTTTACTCTTTTGTTTTGGGTAGTCACAGTTAACCTACGTCAATATTTTATATTATTTTTTTATAAAGATAATAAGACAAAAAAGAATAGTAATATAAAATGTTAACGTGACTTAACCGTGACCACACAAACAAAAAAGTATAAGAGGGCATCGGAAGTGATAGGGAAGAAAATCTGCCTCCATTAACTTAATGATATTAGCTTTTGACATATCACATGTGACACAACAAAAGATGGCTCTCGAAACTTCTTGCTCCTTGCTGCATCTCTTCATCATTAAGTTAATCTAAATTCCCAAAGAAAAGTTAACACCCAACTCCGTACGCAGACTTCTTCGTTGTTCCATTACTTGTTTTTTGAAGCTTCCCTATACCTGTCAATTGCTAAGTTCTTTATTCTTGCCTACTATTTTGGTCCTCATGCTCTCCTTTCATATACAGCGGAATAGAGAATCTTGCATACAGTCAAAGATATAAATCATCGTTAATTAACAATATTTTTCATGCCGAGGATGAATGACGATGTGTCGGTTAAAACAAAACACGTGTTGCAAAATTTGAATCGCGCGCGAATAAATCTGAAAACCGATAATGAAAGAAAAAGAGATGATCTAACTTATTTACATAAGAAAAATGTTGTTAATCAATTGAACTGCAAACCTTCAACGAATAAAACTCTTTGAAAAGAGAAAAGTAACCTTGTTATGATGGGTTGATCCTACTTACACATAAAGAAGCGAAACTGATTGCTGCAATCTTAGTCTCGTTCGATACAAACTTTAATGTCAACAAGCCATTTTTCTTCAATTTTCAATAGATATTGTAGTCCCAAACTGCTTTTGCCAACAAGTTAGGAAGAGAAAACATGTGAAAGTGCCAGAAGCGACAAAATGTGTTTGATATTTCATGTTATGGGTTCCTTTCCCCTCATCCTTTTCACAAGATACGATTTGATATGGATATAGCTGGTTTTGATGCCAATTTATCACTCACCACAACCAATTTCACATTATTTTAATCCAAAATATTTTATTTTACATGGACTGCAACAACGACACGTCGTCGCCAGACTCCTCACTCACCTTCTTTTCTCACTTGCCAAAAAACAAAGCCACCCACAAGCATCTCCCTTCCTTGGCGCCGTCCAAAGTTAGCCCGCCAACGTGGACCTACCCTTTCCCACCATGTCACCACAAGCGGGCCCACTAACTAAAAGCTCTAGAGAGAGATGATAGTACAAGGAAGAGATATGAGGCAGTTAAAACCTTACCCAAATTTTGGGTTTGGGAGTAAAACAAAAAAAAAAAAAAAAAATCCCCTGAGGCGCGTCTAGGCAACTCCGACAACGCCTTCCGCCACCTTCCGTCCACTCCCTTAAAACAAAAACGGCAACCTTCAAGGCCAGCCTCACATAACGCCTAGGCGCGTCTTGAGACGAGCCTTTTAAAACATTGGCCATGGTATGTCCGCATCAGTATTCATGCAGACTCACCAAAAATAAAGTATTAGTAGTTAAATATTTAATATCCAATGGAGTAGCAACAGTGAGACCGTGAGAATATAGTTCAAGTCAACGAATCAAAGGGTCCAGATCTTGTTGCCCACCTAACCACAATGCCTTCTACTACCACCCCATCATCCTGCACTCTATTTTTCTATTTTCTTTTTCCTTCACAAAAACAAAAATAAGTTGGCGGATGGCGCGGTAACTGGTAACCCATGACAACCACATGTCGAATTTGAATATTGGTGTCATAGCACACGTCATCTTTTGGTCAAATGGATGTCTTAAGAATGATACACTTCCTTACGTTGCCAAGCAATAATTTGCAACTATACAAGAACGTTAAAACGCTTAACATCAATTTTTCTAAACACATCGATCACTAATTTTAATCAAAATGAATTTTTTGAAAGGTTAAGCTCCACAATTGAACATAATGTTCCGATGGATTATAAAATATATCATTTCATCTACTTATGTTGCTCATGTTTGCATATGTTACGTACGATTTTAACCAAAATTAAAATTTTAACAAAATTTCACTCCAAGATTTGAACATGATAAAATATATCATTTCAGCTACTTATATTACTCGTGCCTGTAAACCTTACATTCAACTTTTAAACGAAAGTCAACAAAAAATTATAATATTAATTAAATATGATTGGTAACCGACTAAACTTCATGATCAAATTTCACCACATGAATTAGCTTGGAGACATCCACATACGACCTATACAATTGGACCATAAACACTTGGGCAAGTGAAGAGGTGCCAAATCGACGGTCCAAGATCGAAACACAAATTCGGTTACTTGGATAAGGATAAACCTCCCAAACCAAGTATCCACCCCCACCCCCACTATCCATTCCCTACGTAAACACAAACCAAGGGGCAAAGATGCCTCGCTGACGTCATCACACACGCGCCTTTCCCCTGTTTATCCATTTGCAATTTCCATGTCACCCTCACAAAAAAATTCTCCTTTTATCTTTTCCGACAAATTAAAAAATAAAAAATAAAAAAGGTATATACGAACTTTCGTTTGGATCTCCCGCACATATAAATACCCGGTTGGACTCAAATCGAAAACACAAAAGAAAACACGCAATAAAAATTCCGACATGGGAAAAATGAACTCAAACACTCAACATTCTCACGACACGGTTTCTTGGGTACGAGGAAAATGCATAGGAAGAGGGTCGTTCGGCACCGTCAGCATCGGGGTCAGCAAATCGGACGGTCGTGTCTTCGCCGTCAAGTCGGTCGATCAAGCCGCGTGCCTTCCCGGCCAGCTGGAGGCGCTGGAGAACGAAATTCGAATTCTCCGGTCGCTCTCCTCGCCGCACGTCGTGAGTTACCTCCGCGACGACGTTTCGTGCGAATCTGCGACGTCGTTTCGTAATCTCCACTTGGAGTACTTGCCAGGTGGCACCGCCGTGGACGCCGACGTGGACGAAACGACGCTGCGGTCGCGCGTTTGGTGCGTCGTTTCGGCGCTGAAGCACGTTCACTCCAAGGGCATTGTTCACTGCGACGTCAAGGGGAGGAATGTCCTGGTGGGCCCCGCGATTAATCAAGCCAAGCTCGCCGATTTCGGCTCCGCGATTGTCTTGTCGGATGACATGTGGACGAATAGAATCACGCCGCGAGGAAGTCCGCTTTGGATGGCGCCGGAGGTCATTAACGGGGAATATCAGGGGCCGGAGTCCGACGTATGGTCGTTGGGCTGCACGATTATCGAGATGGTGACCGGAAAGCCCGCGTGGGAGGATCGCGGGATGGAGACGCTGGCTCGGATCGGGTTGTCGGGTGAATTGCCCCGGTTCCCGACCCAGTTGTCGGAAACGGGCCGCGATTTTCTCGGCAAGTGTCTGAGTAGGGACCCGAAGGAGCGGTGGAGCTGCGATCAGCTGCTGCAGCACCCATTTTTGGCTTCCGCGTCGCTTAATGCAGTCGCCTATTCGTCGCCACGGTCCGTGCTCGACTGGGTTAACTCCGAGTTCGGTGATCAAACCGACGACGTCGATGGCGAGGACGAGGAGGAGTGCGAGGTTTCTGCCAGGAACCGGATTGGTAAATTGGCGACGGAGGCAGGGGCGAATTGGGAATCGGACGGATGGACGGTGGTGAGGGAATATTCAGGTGGCGCGAACTCTTGTGAGGAAGAAGGGACGAGTGAGGAATATTGTAATTGTGGAGGGGTAGAATTGGAATTAGACAACCTAAGTGGCGGTGGTTCAGTGGAGAGAGGTGTTAACTACAGTGGGTGGTGCGCGGTTGGCGCCAGCGGTTCGAAAAGGGAACATTTGGCGGTGGAAAGGTTAGGAGTTGGAAAAAGGTCACGTCAAAGCTTGTGTAATTTGTGCGGAAGCAAAGTATTATTATTATTTTTATATTTTATTGGGATATTCTTGAATAAATTACGAATTCTATTTATTTGTTATATTGTTTATGTTTCATTATCTTGGCATGGAGATATGCATGTGAATGTGATGATTGAACAAAGTCTAATCGTTGTTAAACTTAATACGTTAAACGAATCAAAAGTTTGACGCACTTTATTAAATAAATCAGAAATATAAAGTATTACGTTAAATGGATCATTTTTACTGGTAAATAAGAGATATCAATGTACGTTCGTAACTAGTTCGTTGTGATATGAAAAAGTGTCATATTTCATCATAATTTATTTCTTGTGGACCAGTGTGGACTAGTGCAATTGGGACGAGTTGAGTTTGCAAGTTGTTGCAAATTGGAGCGGGGTTATACTATCAAATGTTGATAGGGACGAGAGATTTGCTAAAATATCGAAATTATGGATGGAAGTAGGCCTGGCGAAGAAGAAACAAGTGGGGAAATGAGAAGATTATGCACTGCAATTTGCAACACAAACCACGTGGTTTCGTAAACAATTCGATAGGGACTATAACTGTTTGTTGACATCTGAGATATTTGGTGGGTTATTGAGGTTGATCGTTTAATTGGTCATGAAAAAGTTTCTCATGAATGTTTCTTGACTCTTTACCAAACACTAAACTAATGCACCAAATTGAGTATAATTGCATTTGATAATTCACCAACAAACACTAAACTAATGCACCAAATTGAGTATAATTGCATTTGATAATTCACCACAAACAAACACTACAATCTAATGGAAACGATCTTGACACTTTCTTTTGTCCTTAATTTAGCGTTGATATATGCCGGGGGAATCCACCTTGGGGCAAGGTGGGTCAGTTGACTTTTAAACTCAAAAATTCTTCATGTAAGAGCTGGGTGCTGTTTTTTGAAAATCTGAGATGCCCTTAAAAACTGTCATCCAAATGCTCGCGACGCAATGGATATAAAGCTTAAAATTCATTCCAAGTTTTGATCTCTATGGTGGACTGCTGTGACAATTATGTTTGTTTCTTTTGAAATAAAAATGAAATATAGTTTTCTTTTTTTTAAGAAGCGATTACGTTAGTGGGTTAAAGTGTTAAATGTTAAGGAGGGGAGGAGGATTAATTGGGATCAAACTTGCACTAAAATATATAGACATTATCGCTTTCTGTCAATGCAGTAAAGTGTCGTTAAACATAGTTGATGATAGAAAAGTAGGAAAAAAACAACTAGCCCAATGAGATAGTAGAAGGCCATCCCGAGCTTAAACTAATAAGGGTGCCCACATATCGGTCAAGTTATTTTACTAGGCAAGCCCATACAATAAACCAATCGGCACGTAAAATAAGCCCAACTCCCCATTAATATTTAAAAAAAAAAAAAAAAAAAAAAGAACAAATTTGCAACATTTTAAACTACTCTTTGGGAAACGCTACTCTAATTCGAGTAGAAAAAGTGAACTGGCTACTTAGATCAACTAGTCTAACTTACATTATTGTTTTTACTTTATGGCTATAATTTTTTATTTTTCAAAATATTTCAATTTAATAATAAATAAGACATCACTTTCAATCTATTGCGTTTCGAGTTTAAACTATCTTCTCTCACTTTGTTAGTAATTAAAACAGTAATATCCCTTACAACTTTGTATGGTTTGACAAAATTACTCAAGGAACAAAAAAAAAAAAAAAAAAAAAAAAAAAACCTTTTGTGGGGTTTCTTAGCTACAAAGTGTTTAAGATTTCTAAACTATTATGCATAAAACAAACATACAATGAGATAAAATTGTTACACAATGTGATAAGTACATTGTTATTCTACGGATTATGTATAAATTATATCCGGATCTTACTATCTGGAGCTCATGAAACAAAAAATCTGTATCACTCAAATTGAATTCAACGGTTTTCATGAACTTATTCTACTGGTCACCTTACACAACCAAGGACCCGAATCTCTTTCTCTTTATTGAACGGTTCAGATTTCCTAATACTTAAAACTCTAGATAGTGGTGTCCCGGGAGGATCCAAATTATAAAAAAACGCATGGTGACTTCTAAAATTAGAAATATTTCTGCTTTTTCATCAAAATGCTTCGACTTACGTGCAATCCTTGTACGTTGACAAGTGCATTTGATTAACCCATCACGTTCACAACGTACAACCCCACTCAGCAATCGATTCACAAATTTTGCGCGTGCAGAAACGCATACTATAGCTCCTCCTCTTCTGTATACATTCCCATACTACAAGATCCACACAGACTCTCTCTCTCTCTCTCTCTCTCTCTCTCTCTCTCTCTCTCCCCTCTCTCTCTCTCCCCTCTGCAAATCCACAAACAGAAGCTTCTGCTGTGCCACATTCTTCTCCGCTTATCGGGTCCTCCTATCGAAGCCCCGACCCAGGCACCATGGCCGCCGCTAACGCCCCCATGACCATGAAAGAGGCCCTCACGGTAATGCCACCTTCATCTCGATCCTTATTTCATCGAACCGTTTCTGGGGTTTCCTCATTTGATCCAATGCTTCATCGGATCGATCCAGATCCTTTAAGAAACTGCATTTTCACTCTGTTTCCCAGTGACCCATTTGCGAATTATGTATTATTTGTGCAATTTTCTGTATTTTGTTTTGTTGGATTTTTGGCATTGTGTTTGAGTGATCGAGTGCGATAATGTGATTGTTGATTTGTATTTTGTGTGGTTTTTCAGCTGCCTAGTATTGGGATCAATCCCCAATTCATTACGTTTACGCATGTGACTATGGAATCGGATAAGTACATTTGTGTTAGGGAGACATCACCGCAGAATAGCGTCGTTATCATCGATATGAACATGCCCATGCAGCCGTTGCGTCGACCCATTACCGCCGACTCGGCTTTGATGAATCCCAATTCCAGAATTCTTGCTCTAAAAGGTAAAATTTGAATACTTGAAATCAATGTATTGAAGCAATTCCAATGTGTAGTAATGCAATTTCAGCTTGAGTTACCACTGTGAAAGTATATCGCAAGGCAACGGTGTCATTGCTATTATTCTGTATATATGAAGGATTATTTGAAATTTATTTCTGTGGAATTCAAACTGACACTGTTTGTGTTGAGTTGTTTAATTTATTTTCTTAATTATTTGTTGTGGTGATTGCCTCGCTGATCGATGGCTGAATTTAATGTGTAGCTCAAGTCCAAGGAACTGCTCAGGACCATTTACAAATCTTTAACATTGAAATGAAAGCAAAGATGAAATCACATCAAATGCCTGAGCAGGTGATGATCTTGCCCTTTTTTGGCATTCACAACGTTGAATGTGATCTTGTGAACGTTTAAAATCTTTTCTTATAGATTTGATATGCTAACTGGTTTTAATCCTAATGTTTCTGTTTGCTCATTGTTTTGTTCTTTGTAGGTTGTCTTTTGGAAGTGGATCACTCCAAAGATGCTAGGTCTAGTCACTCAGACCTCAGTATATCATTGGTTAATTGAAGGTAAGTCGTCTTTACATATCCTTGAATCTGGTTTCTTTTATTTTGTTTTCTTCGCATTATCTCATCTCTCCACAGAGCTTTTTATTCTTATATTTTTTGCACATGTTTTATATATATTTTACTTTTAGGTGATTCCGAGCCTACAAAGGTCTTTGAGCGGACAGCTAATTTGGCAAACAATCAAATAATCAACTACCGTTGTGATCCTTCGGAAAAGTGGTTGGTCTTAATTGGAATTGCTCCTGGTTCAGCAGAGGTGAGTGATTATCTTGTTTCCCTTTTTTGCCTTTGTACTGCTTTTGTCTCTGTAATCCTGTCGATGAATTCTCAAAATCTGAAGTGTGTGAACTGGCGCCTCTATAATTGTACATAACTGTATGAAAATAATTTTTTCATTAGATGGTTAATATGTTTGGACATTACCCATTATTGCTATTTTCTTTTTAATGTTTACTTACTTGTGAAGTTGCTAAAAAGATTTAGAAGAGTGGTCAAAATGTTGTGCTGTTTTCAATTCATGGGAGCCGGGATTAGATAAGATGTTCTAGTTGCACTCATTATAATTCAGCATTTTATCCTTTTTATTTTTACTAATACTTGGGAGTATGTAATTATTTTATTGAAAAGAAGATTTTTGTCATTTGATTTATTTACTTTTATTTCATTAATTATAATTTAACGACTGGAGCTAATTATGGTTTACCAGATTTAATGACATCTTTAACAGTTTAACATATTTCTTCTGCCAAAATGATTGCAGAGGCCACAACTTGTCAAAGGAAACATGCAGCTTTTTTCTGTGGAACAGAAACGTAGTCAGGCTCTTGAAGCACATGCTGCATCGTTTGCCACATTTAAAGTGCGGTGCCATACTTCTTTCTCAGTTTCTCTTGGCTTAAAGATATGCAGTTTACTACTGTGCTATATTTAATCCTTACTAACTTTTCTGTTACATGCAGGTTCCAGGGAATGAGCATCCTTCAATTCTTATTTGTTTTGCCTCAAAGTCCTCCAATGCTGGACAGGTTACATCAAAGATGCATGTAATTGAGCTTGGTGCCCAGCCCGGTACACTGCTTCTTCACCGGATTCCTTTTAAAATATATGAGAATATATTACTGCACATCACACAGATCTAACATTTATTGTTGGCTAGCTTTTCTATATATTCTGTGTCATAATCCTTTTGTAGTCTTATGCATCTGTGACATGCTTTACTCTGATTTAGGATTAATTTCTGGAACTAATTTACTGTGAATTGTCATCAGGAAAACCATCATATACTAAGAAGCAAGCAGATTTATTCTTTCCTCCTGATTTTGCTGATGACTTTCCAGTATCAATGCAGGTCTTACTTTTGACTGTTATTACTTTGATTTATCCCATATATTTTACCTTTCAATCAAACTACATTCTTTTTTTTTTCTCTTCTTGATTTCAGATATCGGAAAAGTATGGGTTGATATATGTTGTCACAAAGCTTGGACTTTTATTTGTATATGACCTAGAGACAGCAACTGCAGTTTATAGAAATCGAATCAGTCCAGATCCTATATTTTTGACAGCTGAAGCTTCAACTGTTGGGGGTTTTTATGCAATCAATAGGAGAGGCCAGGTCTTACTTGCCACTATAAATGAACAAACAATTGTACCATTTGTTAGTGGTCAGGTATGCTTTTGAATCATTTTGTGCTTTTGACTACT